GTGAATTGAAGGGAGGGGTGGGCAGAGAGAAAAGTGCAACAATCAATGACTAGAAACCCTAAGTCTCTGTAAACATTCATTAAAATTAATTTTTAAAAATAATAATAATAAATGCTACCAATTTAGACATTAATCTAAGATCATTTAGGTCATATATATAGCTGTTATTATTGCTGTTAGGTGCTTTTAAGTTTAGTAGGACTCATAGCAAGTTTATGGACAATAGACTTGAACCCTGGGCTATCCTGTGCCCTTCTCATTATTTCTGAGATATCTGAGCCCTTTGCAGCGGTCATTGTGTCAACCCATCTCACTGAGGGTCTTCCTCTCTTCCCCTGACTATCCACCTTTCCAAGCATGATGTCTGCCTCCGAGGAATAGCCCCTCCCAGCAACATTTCCAAAGTATGTGAGATGAAGCTCTGCTACCCTTGCCTCCGAGAAGCACTGCTTTGGCTGTGCTTTTCCCAAGACACGTCTGTTTTTTAGAGGCTACACAATCTCACTGTCTCTTTGCAAGGGCCTGTGAGGAGGATAAGGGAGCTCTGGTGGCTTAGAAGTAGGAAGTTGTGCTGCCAACCTAGTGGTGGCCAGTTCAAATCCACCAGATGCTCTAAGGGAGACCTGGAGCTGAGTTGGCTCTGACACAACAGCAATGGATTTGAGTTTGGGCTGTGAGGTGGGCAAAACAGTATCTGCACCTTCATTAAATGGGGGCAACTGTGAGGGTCTGAGAATGCAGGTGACACAACCCAGGTGACGTGTCACCTGAACTCTGTTTACATTGAAGTCTGCATTTGCACAACGTTTTAGGAATGGAAACTTCTTTAACAATTGATTAGCAGTATTTGCCATAAGAAACTTTTTCTCAACTGTGCAACTAAGGTTTCTCTTCTGACTTTAAGAGCTTGGAAGTGACAGAAGCAGGGCTTGAAACCACAAAAGCTTTGGTGGCCATTTCAGCAGGAGAGGATGCCAGACTCCCACCTGAGACCAGCCTGTCTGGGGAAATGTGTTGAACACTTCAGAGGAGGGCCCCAGAGAAGCAAAGAGAGTGGTCATGGCAACCCCGCCTGAGCCTGGAGGGCCACCTGCCAGACCCAGGCCACCTGAGCTGTCCCAGAACCAGCTGCTGGGAGGCCAACGTCAGCTTTCTGCACTTCCCCAGTGAGCTGCTCCAGCTGTGACTCATCCTGGCGGAAGCTCGAGAAACACCGTCCCTGAAGGTTTTACTGGGTGACCTCCCTGTGGTTTGGATGCCAGAGAACTCTCCTTGGAAGTTGCACAGGACTACGCAGCATTTTCCCCCCAGAGCTGCTACCAGGGAGCTCTGATGGCTTTGTGGTAAGGAGTTGTGTTGCTAACTCAAAGGTACACGGTTTGAGTCCACCAGCTGCTCCACAGGAGAAAGATGGGCAATCTCCTCCTGTGAAATTTCCTGTCTCTAAAAACCCACTGGTGAATCCACTGAGTCGCTTCCCATGTGACGGAACCCAACAACAGCATGGCTTCCACCAGAGACCAGGAACAGAATTTAATCAAAGATGGTTTGTCTTGAGCAAAAGTAGGAAGGCTCTTGACCCTTTGGTAGAAGTCACAGGCACAGGACACACCTTGGCAGGTCATGGTCCTGCAGCTCAGTCCTCTGTCATTTGGGGGCCACCATGGAGCCTGCCGTGAAGGCAGAGACATCCACATAATGAGGCCAAAAGCCCTCCGTGTCCTAAACCGTTTCCTGGAAACAACCTGGGAAATGACCTCTATTTTATCCTAACCTTTCCCACCAAAAAAGGCAAAACAAATCTGTCACCAGCGAGTTGATTCTCTCAGCAGACCTATGGGACAGATTTGAACTGTCCCAGGAGGTTTCTGAGGTTATAAGCTATAGGACCTGACTGCCACACTGGTTTCCTGATGAGTGACTGAAGAGTGGATTTGAACCAGTGACCCTTTGGTCAGCACACAAGTATTTAACACTATACCACCAGGACTCACTTGGTCAGGCTCCTCGAATAGACTGGCTGCCATAAAGTCAGATCCACATCACGGACACGTCGCGTGTCAGAGAAGAACTGAGCTCAGCTCAATTTTAAACAGCTGAGTGTTTGGGAGTAGATCATCAGCTCTGACCTACAAGGTCCCTCTGGGTAGATTCAAACCTCCAACCATTGGGCTAGCAGGCAGCTCATTAACAGTTTGCACTGCCTGGGGACTCCTCTCCAAATAGTGGGGAGCTTCTTAACAACGCTGACACAACTTCAAATACTGTGGACATATTACCAGGAGGGGTCAGTTCCCAGAAAAGGGTCTTGTGCTTGGAAAGCACTTTGTTGTTGTTGTTGTTGTTGTTAGTTGTCACTGAGTTGAGTACGACTCATAGTGACCCCCTGAACGACAGACCTGAACCGTGCCCTGTCCTGGGCCATCCTCACCCTCTGTGACACACTCAGGCCCACTGCAGTGCTCACCACGTCCGTCCATCTCAGTGAGGGTCTTCCTCACATTTGCTGGTGGGAAAAAAAAGAGAAAGACCCTCGAGAAGATGGAATGAATGACCCAGGGACCAACGATGAGCTCAAAGCACAGCCGAGCGAGAGGACGGGGCTGGCGCCGTAAAGGATCGCTTCTGTTGTCCACGGAGTCGCTGTGAGTGGAGCCGACTTCACAGCTCCCGACAGCAACATCACTATTTATAAATTGCTTAATGTCCTGCGCTAGAATGAAAGAGGATGTGAATCTGCAAAGTGAGTGGCAAGTAGGCAGCGTTGCTGCGAGCAGCGTACCCGGCTGGTGACGTTGATGGCCGTGTCCGACTGGCTCCTTCGCTCTGTGGAACCCCCTCGCGGCCTGTGGCCCGTGGCTAGCAGGTGCTTGTCGGCGGTCATGTCATTCTGGGACTTGGAGAGTTCTAGAAAACAAACACCAAGAGGTGACTCATGAGCACTAGTGTTTCTACCAAACTTTCGAAGCCCTACTCAGTGTGTCCCCAGGGCCCTAAACATGCAAGAGAAGACCTTAGGGGAGCCAGACACAGCAGGCCCTGTGCTGGCTTTGGGACTTGGGGATCACAGAGGCACCCCGAGAGTTTTGTGCACTGGACATGGATTCATCCCAAGGGTGAGAGAGGAGTGGATTTCCTGGGGATGAAGGTGGGGACTCTGCTAGGGGCCTGGGTTACAGGGCATCTCGGGGCGGTCCTCTGTCCCTCCAGTCACTGAGACGGCATTGTAGGAACAGTGTGGCTAATGACTCCTTCCCTGTCAGGGACACACGTCAGGTGTACGGCTGCCCAGATGTGAAGGTGACCCCCCAGCGTGTAAGCAGGCATCCTGGGGCTCCCACATAGACTCTACCCAAACCCCCTTTTCCATGGCGTCCTTAGCAAGTAGTGCCTAGGAAGATGACTTCAGACTTGTTCTTCTGCTTTCACAGAATCTGTGGCCCAGAGTAGAGATGGACGGGACACTCAGGCAGGCCCGGATCCACTCCAAGAGGGGCTCTTCTGCCAAGAACAGCTTCGTTCCCCAAGAGATGCTCATTTTCTCAGATGTGAGCCTTAGAAACCAGCCCTCAGGGAGGGATCTAACGTGAACCTCAAGGAGACCCAACCCCGGCAGCGTGGAGAGCCAGCTCCGGCCCTCTGACCACACAGGGACCCAGCTCCAGCCATGTGAAGTGCCATGTCCGGCAGCGTGGACATCCAGCTCCCATCCTCTGACCATGTGAGGACCCAGCTCCAGCCACATGAAGTCCCAGCTCCGATCCTCTGACCATGCAGCTCCAGGCACGTGAAGTCCCAGCCTCGATCCTCTGACCACATAGGGACCCAGCTCCAGCCATGCGAAGTGCCATGTCCGGTCATGGGGAGCTCCAGCTCCGGTCCTCTGACCATGTGGGGACCCAGCTCCAGCCACGTGAAGTGCCATGTCCAGCAGCGTGGACATCCAGCTCCGGTCCTCTGACCATGTGGGGACCCAGCTCCAGCCACGTGAAGTCCTAGCCCTGGCCATGGGAAGATGCATCACAGGAACGTGGGTGCCTCACACATGATACAACATGAGCCTTTCAGGACCTAACTCCAGCCAGGCGGGGCTTAATGGGAGCTGCTGATGGGTTTCCAAATTTTCTAGGAGCCATTTTGAAAAAGTACAATAAAATACATGTAATTAATTTTTAATAATCTATTTTTTAAAGTAGACTGTGAAATCTCATGAAATGCTTGATTTTTATTTTTTCCCCAATTGTCTGAAATTTCTATAACCTGCTCCATGGCTGGTGTAGAGAAAGGCCTCACACCGTTTCAACACTGCTTTTGCAACCACGGTAGGAACTCACAGGCTCACTACAGACCCAAGCACGCTGGAGGTTTGCCATAAAGGCTTGATTTTTAAAAAACAGCTTATTAAATCTTATGAAATGCTTGATCAGGAGGAATGTGGAACGGCAGAGCTCTTGGAGTTTAAACCATGCCTTGGTTTTTAAATTCGGATGGAATTTGACTGATCTGTGACCCATGGTGGACAGTGTTTGGTGGAGCTCCCCGATTAAAACAAGCTTGGAAGCAGGAGTGGCATCCACTTCCGAAATGGCTTGCCTCCAGAAACCCTATGAACCTGAAGAAATGATGAAAGTTATACAAGTGTTCTGATCTTTCATTCTTAGGGTCACTATGAGTCGCCTATGACTCAACGGGCACTTAACAACAAGAACATTTTTTAAAAAGAAGCTCTGGTGGCCTATTGGTAAGAAACTGCATTGCAATCACAAACCCCTGTGGTTCGAATCCACCCACTACCCCACAGGAGAAAGGTGGGCAATGTCCTCCTATGTGGTTTACTTCCTCGGAAAACCTGCTGGACAGTCAGGTATGGGCTGGTTCTGACGCAATGACACATTTTTTATATGTGATGTCTCATTTAAACCAATATATTAAAAACTATTCAAGTTATTATTTAAACCAATATATCTAAAATAGAGAGAGCTCTAGTGGCCTAGTTAGTAGGGAATTGAGGGGTCAGCCCAAAGGTGGCAGGTTTGAATCCCCCAGCTGCTCCACAGGAGAAAGATGAGCAATCTCCTCTCGTGATTTATAGACTCTGAAAACCCGCCAGTTGGTTCAACATGCAATTAATATAAAAAATAACTAACGAAGTATTTGATGTTTCTGCGCAGTGTCACACCTCTGAAAACTGGCGTGCATTTTTTTCTGAACCTGTCTTGTTTCTAAGGCCACACACATTTCAGGGGCCACATGTGTTGATGCCTCACTGGTCATCAAGAGGTACACGTGAACCTCGGCTGTGCACTGCCCAGAGCCAAGTCTTCAGGACATCGTCTTCTCCAGAGAAGCCTCCAGAAGAAGGCCCTTCTGCGCTCACTCTCCCACCAGGATGCCCTACCACCCTTGCTTCCTCAAGTCTCCACCTTGAAACCTGGGGTGCTTTCTAGGACGGGGAGCAGGAAAGAGACCAGCATACATCATCCTCACAGCAGACTGAATGCTAAGTGGCATCTTCACGCAGCCCTGTCCCAGGGGGCTCCTGCTGCCGCCCCAGGGAGATGGCCTTGTCTCCAGCCGTCTGTGCTGCTCCCAGCCGGGCCCCGGGCCTGCATTTGGCCCATTTCCACCCACTCATTAGGGGAAAAAGCCTCCCCAAGCGATCCAGGCTCTAACAAGCGAGCTATTATGGTGCCATTAGAGCTGAAAATGAAAATGAAAACAAAAGAAAAGAAGCCTGCCGCTCCAGTTTTCTGTTTCCTGCTTTGATGGGGGGCAGGGGTACCACGCTGAAGTCTAGAGATGTGCTGATAATCAAGGCGGGGGAGCAGGTCTGAGGGCATCCTTCAGGACGGCTTCTGAGCCCCTTGTTTGGACCAGGCCTCCCCAGCTCCGTGGTGTTCTGGGCCCTGACGATGCTGAAGTCACTTCACTCCCACCCTGGGCCTCGGGCTCCACTCCTCCTCATTCCTCCCTAAATGATGCTTTCCTGTCCATCCAGATGGGGGAACAGAGTAAAAGAACACAAAGATGGCACAGAAAAGAACTTAAAATGAGAAACAGAAGCAGCATCTCCCACCAGCCTCTAACAGGAACGTTCTGAAGTCTGCCTCTATGTCAGCTCCAGCACAGGACGACCGCTTGTGTCCGAGCAGAGCTGTGCCCAGTGCGCTTCCAGACACTGAGTTTTGTCCGCAGACTTCCTCCCAGGGGTATCTGGGTGGACTCAAACCCCCAACCTTTCTGTTAGCAGCCTAGCATCAAGCTCAGGGTCACCGCAGGACAGCATCCAGCTGCTGGGTGCGAACAAGCTTTTGCTCATGAGAAGGGCTTGTACTTTGCTGTTCTTGGTGTGTGCTGTCGAGTCGGAACCAATCCACAGCTGATCCTCCAGCGGGTTTTCAGAGGCTGTAAATCGCATGGGGGAGACTGCCGATCTTTCTCCTGATGGTGGATTTGAACTATGGGCCTTTGAGTTGGTGGTGCAGTTCCTTATCACTAGGCCACCAGAACTCCTCATTCTTAGGAGCCTAGAAAGCTGAGAGCTTCTACCCCCCACCTCAAAGCCAAGTCTTCAGTGTCCTGGGAGGTCCCTGGACAAGCGAGGGACCACGAAGGCAGGTGCCCCCAGTTCTATGGTCTCTGTCAACATCCTGTATCAGAAAGGGGATGGCTTTGTTCTCGTGAAGTCCAGCCCCAGGACAGACTGTGTTATTGCTGATGAAGATGGTGTTTTCCAGGGTCTTGAACTGACCAGTCCCACAGATGAGGTGGGTGGGTGATAGTAACCCCAGCACACACTATTGCCCTGCGAGGCTCCTAACACCTTAGAGACAGCTGTACACAGAGTGAGTGGGACAGTTCCTGCCTCTGTGTCTCTGTGGCCAAGTAACCGGAAGGGTGGGGCTAGTCCCAGGCCCTGAAGTCACCAAGGTGTGGTGGGGGTCCATGGGGACATGGCCAGGGGCTGCGGGCTGAAGGAGACGCCGAAGAGCCAATGGCCAGAGTGCAACCGTGACAGGAGTCGTGTGCAAAGCTGCAGTTCAGAGCAGGGCAGGGGGGCAGATGGAGGGCTAAAGCCCCCCATGCAGGATTGTCAACAGGGGCATGAGATGCAGCGTCCCTCCTTCTGAGAGAGGAGGGCCGTCTGCTGCCTGAAGAGCCGCACTTTGGTTTCAGTTGTCATCACGTGACCGTTTACACAGGGCTGCCAGGAATCCAGATGACACATGAGACCAAAGGACAAGATTGTCTCCAAGCTGGACAACAGCAAGACCTTAGGTGTGTGCCGGCAGCGAATCCGGGAGAGGCAGGGGCCTCTGAGCCCAAAGAGCAGCCAGTCCCTGTCCCCAGTGTCCCCAAGCTAGTCCCCGCACTCATCTCTGAGAGGCCTGGTTCTCCAGGATTCACTAAGAAAGCAGGAAAAATATATCAGAGCAGTAAGAAGACAGAGACATGGTTCTAGGCAATGCTAGTTCTGGATTGCTTCCTTCTGCAAATCGCTAATTGAAGAAGAGAAAACTACAAGGATGGGAAACTCATGCCACATGGAAAGAGGATGTTGACCACCCACATGGCCCGAAGGCTCTGGTTTGCTGTCACCACAGTCCAGACACTTTCATGCTTTGGTCCTGGGGAGATTCTCAGATGAAGTCAGTGTAAATTCAGCTCTTCCACTCGTGCAGAGCAGGGGTCTGTGAAGGCAGGACAGACCAAGCCATTGAGCAGTCACTGTGTCTGTGACAGTAGATGGCCCTGGGGTGGGACATTCCAGCCCAGGTCCCCTCTATCCCTAGGTCAGTCAACATGGATGTCCTATTTGGCTTCAGGAAAAATATACAGAGAAATATCTACTTACTTTTCATGTGGGTGGTAACAGACAGAAACAAATTTTCAACCGACTTATTAAATCCTTTAAACTGGCCAAGGTCCTGTAACTGAAACAGAGGAAAGAGTCGGTGATGTTTGCTGGCCTGTGTCCCACTGGCCTCCAGACAGCTAGCCCCAAGTTACTGCCAGTACACACAGAGCGGTGAGTGTGTGTGTACAGGTACGGTGTGTATGGGTGGGTGTGCAGCTGTGTATATACACAGATGCGAGGGGTGGATGTGTGTGCAGGTGTGTGTGGGTGTGTGTAGTCATGCACCTGCGTGCAGGTGAGTGTGCAGCTGTGGATGTGTGTGCAGTTGTAGGTGTTTGCGTGGTTGTTATATGTGCACAAGTAACTGCACAGGTGTGGGAGTGCCAACATGGATGTGGGAATGTTGCAAAGGTGGGGTGTTGGGTGCAGGTATGACTATGTTGAATGGGTATATGTGCTGTACATGTGTACAAAGGTGTGTTGGAGGTGTGGGTGTGGGTGTGGCCTGGCTGTGAATGTGTATGCAGGTGTTCAGGTGTGTGTTGTCTCTACTCAGCTTCCTTCTCTGTATTTGACGTCTTCACTGAATAGAAGGACTTCATCAATGAGCTGTTGACAAGATAACAACCACCTCTAGAAATAATAGCTGATGGTTTATTCAAGATTGTATCCAAGTAAATTACTGCTTGCTTAACCTCCTTTCTCTATAGTTCCAGCCCAATGGAAAGCAGAGGGGCCACCCACATGGATGGAATGAATGCATGCGACACAGAGACCCAGAGTGGACGGGAAGTGTGGTAGCCAGACTGAAGCCACACAGCCTGACCTCCTGAGATAGAAGAAAAAGGAAAGAAAACAACTGAAAGGATAGAATTTTCCTCCACAAATGTCCCATCCAACCATCTAACCACCCAAGCATCTATTCATCCATCTGATCATCATCCATCCATCCATCCATCCATCCATCCATCCATCCATCCATCCAGTCACCCAGTCATCCATCCAACCAACCATCCATCCATCCATCCATCCATCCATCCATCCATCCATCCATCCACTCATCTACCATCTCATTCACTCACATTCAACCACCCATCCATCCACTTACTCACTTATCCATCAGTCCATCCATCCGTCCATCCATCCATCCATCCATCCATCCATCCACTCATCTATCATCTCGTTCACTCACATTCAACCACCCATCCATCCACTTACTCACTTATCCATCAGTCCATCCATCCATCCATCCATCCATCCATCCATCCAACCATCCAACCATCCAGTCACCCAGTCATCCATCCAACCATCCACTAATTAATTCAACCATTCATCCGTCCATCCATCCATCTATCCATCCATCCATCCATCCATCCATCCATCCATCTACTCATCTACCATCTCATTCACTCACATTCAACCACCCATCCATCCACTTACTCACTTATCCATCAGTCCATCCATCCATCCATCCATCCATCCATCCATCCATCCAACCATCCAACCATCCAACCATCCAGTCACCCAGTCATCCATCCAACCATCCACTAATTAATTCAACCATTCATCCGTCCATCCATCCATCTATCCATCCATCCATCCAACCATCCAACCATCCAACCATCCACTAATTAATTTAACCATTCATCCAATCATCCATCCATCCATCCATCCATCCACTCATCTATCATCTCATTCACTCACATTCAACCACCCATCCATCCACTTACTCACTTATCCATCAGTCCATCCATCCATCCATCCATCCATCCATCCATCCAGTCACCCAGTCATCCATCCAACCATCCACTAATTAATTCAACCATTCATCCGTCCATCCATCCATCTATCCATCCATCCACTCATCTATCATCTCATTCACTCACATTCAACCACCCATCCATCCACTTACTTATCCATCAGTCCATCTATCCATCCATCCATCCATCCATTCATCCATTAATCCATTCAGCCATCTATGCAGTCGTCCATTCATTATCCAACTATTAACAATCCATCTACATTTTCACTCATCAGTCCAACCATCTATCCACCATCCAACCATCAATTATCCACTTATCTATCAATCTACTCACTCATTCATTCATTCAGCTAGCCAGCCAGCCATCTGATCCATCTGATCATCTATCTATCTATCTATCCACCAACTCATTCATCCAGCCAACCATCTAGCTATACATACAAACAACAATCTATCCATTCATTTTTCACCCAACCATCAACCATCCATATATCCATCCATCTACCCATTCACCAATCCATAGAATCACCCATCCACTCACTCACTTATTCATTCATCCATCCTTTCATACTCTCACCCAGCCACTCACTGATTTCTCAATTCATCTTTCCATTCAATCATCTATCCACATATACAGATGGGTCTATACAGATGGGTCCATCCATTCAACCATCCACCCATCCCCAAATAAATCTGCCGCCATCACACAGGTGCTGGAACGCAGATGTGACTAAACACCTTTGCAGAATGTCAATCTCAAAATTTAAGTCTTGCTCACACTCATGTGGTGGGTCTCGTGGACTTCGGATGATAATACTGATACTACTGCACCCGCATGCTCTCATGGCATGCTTCATCTCAAAGCACCAGCAGAAGCATCAGCTCTTTTCTTTCTCACAGCAGCCCCGAAGGGATCCAGATAAAAATTCTTCCATTTCTCAGGTGGGAAACCTAGTGTCTTATTCATCTAGTGCTGCTATGACAGAAACTCCACAGGTGGGTGAGCCGTAAGAAGCAGAAATGTCTTTGCTCACAATGCTGAAGGCTGTCTAGAAGCCTGAATCCAAGGCTCTCTCTCTGTCAGCACTGCTGGGGGCTGGTGGTGTCTTTGTTCTCTGGCTCCTTGGAGACCTCCATTGGCATCTCTCTACACCCACCCCACCCCTGCTTTGCTTGTTTAATCTCTTTCATATTTCGTAAGAAATTGGCTCAAGACACGCTCTACACTAATCTTGCCTTGTTGACAGAACAGATAACAGACTAGCAAGATATATTGAGGAGGGCACCATCCAATCCATGACAACCAGGCAACTCCAAGATCATAGCTGTCGACACACTGGCCCTGGTCCAATTTACACTCAAAGATGGACGCACATACTTGCACACTCACTCTCAATCCATGTCTTAGACCCAAGCACACACCAGCCACCCCCTATCCCACGCTCACATCACAAGAGCAGAGAAGAGAACAGCCAGTGTAAGCAGAGGGATGCACTGGTCATGGGCACAGGAAGGCTGCCGGCACATGGTGCCCCAGCCCTGCCTGGCAGAGAAACATACGCCCACTTGGGACAGCCCAGAGCTCCAACCTCTACTTGGAGGCCTTCCTTCTCCTCCTTGTTCAGGACCCTCTTCAGACCAAGCTGGCCCATCTGCTCTGTCCAGCCCCTCCAAGCCCCTGCCTCCCTCTATCTCTGCCCCTTCCCAGGGAAAACCTGGCATCACACAGACCCCTTACCCCCGATTGGCTGCCACACTGGTTTTCGCTTTGGGGAGGCGGCGTAGGGGGCACCACGGAAATTTTGCTGCCAAGAGAAAACACAGAAATAAGTAGCAGGTTGTGGACTAGGCAGGTGATGGCGTCACAAGAGCACAGGATGCCTCATCACCCTACCCTCTGCTTCTCATTTATTTGTCACTTTCTCTTTTTCTAGAAGACAATTTCCTGTCTGCCCCTCCATCAAACCATCATTTCTGGCCTCTTGGTGCAGAACAGAGTGAACACACTTGATGCCTGGGCATCTCATTCCTTCTATTCTCACATACCCGGGGGCTCACAGCCGGGATGCCAGCCCCACAAGCCCTTGCTCCCATCTGACCACACGTGTTCTGTCTGTGGACACCGCATCAGCCATGGGAAAAGCATTTGGGAAGTAAACATCACCTCGGAGAAGGATCCGAGGCTTGTGCTAAAAGATGTCACCAAAACAAAAATCCCACTCTCGGTGAGTTGATTGTGACTGACAGTGGCCCAGGGGTCTGAAGCTGCAAATCTTTATGTGATGAGACCAGCCAGCTTTCTCCCTCAGAGCTGCTAATAGACTCAAACCATGGACCTTTGTGTCAGGAGCTTAAGACATTGTGAATTAAGCCACCAGAGTTCCTTTGTCATTGCGTCAGAACCGTCTCATAGCTGAACATTTTCGGGTTTGGGGGACTCGCGGGAAGAGACTGCCTGCCTTCCTCCCTCAGAGCTACTGGTGGATTCGAACCACCAAAGAGGCAGCCTCTGGTCTAGCGGAGCATTTCCTTAGGGATGGGGCCACCAAAGAACAAAAATGCCAAAACCTGCACGCTGGGCCTAGCCCTGGTTCTGGGGGCATCGCTGGGATGGGCGGGGGGAGGCTTGCAGTCGGGTTTTACAGAGGTCAGTCCGAGGGGTGTGGGCCAAGGTGGCATCCACAAGGCTGAGAGTTTTGAACTGGCTCGGAGAAGCTGCTGTCTCTAAGGCCATTCTCCACTTCGGCTGATGTTTATGCCCGTCTGTGTGGGTGCCAGGTACCAGCCAGGGTGCTGCAGGTGGCAGGCGTGATTCAGAGGGGGAGTTGCTGGATTCAGAATCTGCACACTGTGCTGTCAGAAGTCACACCCCGCGTCCTCACAGCACGTCGAGAGTGTGAGAAACGAAGGAGAACGTTGGCTTGTTAAAGATACGCTGCCCACACTCACCCAGATCCCAGTAAAAGGGAAGGAGAGCTCCCTCATTTGGCAAATTGAACTGCTCGGCTTTAGGCTCTGACAGGGAGCTCAGCTTTAAACTGTTCCACGGAAGCCCCTCCGGAGCCGGGAGAATGTGGTTTTTATTATCATTTACTAAATCTACTTTCGGGTTATTGTGAATAAATAAAAATCACCTCTTTTATTATCCTAGTTTATTTACAAAATTTGAACACATTGTTTTTCAGATCAGATTCTTCCAATTTCCCTCACTCCCCCCTCAAATTATACAACCCCATGTTTAATCCCCCCTCCTCACGTACATCCTCACCCCCCTGCTTCCACCCTCCCCCTTGGATCCTCATACTCATTCCACAATAATGGTTTTATACAGTATTTGTCCTTGTGGGACTGAGTTAGTTCACTTAGTATAATGCTCTCCAGTTCCTCCGAGCTAGCTAATAATTTACAAAATCATTGCTCCTGCGTGGTACCTATTGTATTCCATTGTATGAATGTAACATAATTTCTCAATCCATTCGACTGTGGTTGGACATCTGAGCTGTCTCCATGTTCTTGCGATGGTGAATAATGCAGCTATGAGCATTTGTGTACAAGTGTCCATTTAGGCCTCAGTTCTCATATTCTCAGGGTATATTCCAAGCAGTGGATTAGCTGGGTCATATGGAATTTCTATGTTCAGCTTTTTTAGTAAGCGCCAAACTGCCTTCCAGAGTGGTTGTATAATTTTATAATCCCAGCAACATTATATAAGAGTTCCTATCTCTCCACGTCCTCTCCAACATTTATTACTTGCTGTCCTGTTAAACTTTGCCACTGTTACTGGAGTGAGATGGTACCTCATTGGAGTTTTGATTTGCATCTCTCTTACTGCTAGTGATTTGGAGCATTTCTTCATGTGTCTGTTTTCCATTCTAATATCTTCCTCTGTGAAAAATTCTTTCCATGTCTTTTTGCCCATTTTGTAATTGTCTTATAAATCTCTTTCTTGTGGAGGCCCAGGAGTATTCTGTAAACTTTCATTATGAGACTCTTTTCTGAGATGGTATTACCAGATGTTTGCTCCCAGTCAGTAGGATTTCTTTTCACCCTGTTGGAAAATCACCTTTATTTTTTAACTGCTGCGCTATTTTGTCTCATACACTGTGGACATGATGTCAGGAGGGGTCAGTCCTTTGAAAAAGACATGATGCTGGGCAAAGTAGCAGGTCAGGAAAAGAGAAAGACCATCAACAAGACAGACTGACAGATGCAGGGCCAGCAACACTGGGCCCCAGTGAATCACAGCTAGTGAGCATTGCCCAGGGCAAGGTTAGAGCCACTGTCCATAGGGTCACTCTGAGTCATAGTCAACTTGTTGGAACCTAGCAACAACCATAACCACAACAAGCTTCTTTCTAGATGGATTTCTAGAAGACTCTGACCCATTTCCTGCTGAGTCCTTTCCAAACATGTGATCTTTCTTATTTTTTTTTTACATTATATTTCAAAGCAATGGCATTTGAAAGTCAAGGCACCTTCAGGCAGGACAGGCTGTGCCCTGCCCCCGCCCCAGGGTGGCCAGTCCCCTGAGCACTCACCTCAGTGTCCGATAAGACTGCAAGAGCTTTGCCCCCGCGGTCTCTGGTTTGCCTGCAAGAGACAGAGAGATTAGCAGGGGCCACCATCCACCACATGAACACAGACAAGTGGCAGGGCTCAGCTGGGTCTCCTCTTCTGAGGCCATTTCCCACCTTAAGAAGAAAAAAACCCAAGGATCAATGGGAATTCATTTTATAAAACACGGTGTATGGGAAAGATATTATGAAACACAATGTGAGTAGAGGAATGAAGGAAATTATATGTGTGTGTGTGTGTGTGTGTGTTGTTGTTGTTACGTGCCGTTGAGTTGCCTGCAACTCATAGCGACCCTATGTACAACAGCCCTAAACCCTGCCCTGTCCTGTACCAATCACACTGCCTCCAGCACATCTACCCCATTTCCCCAGTCACTGAGTCAATTCATCTCATCGAGGGTCTTCTCTCCTGCGCTGTCCCTCCACCCTCCCAAGCATGACGTCCCTCTCCAGGGACTGGTCCCTCCTTGCAACATGTCCAAAGTATGTCAGATGAAGCTTCTGAATCCTTGCCTCCAAGGAGCAGCCTGGTTTCACCCTCTCCAGGACAAACCTGTTCATTTTCTTAGCAGTCCATGATATATTCAATACTCTTCTCCAACACCACAGCTCTGTGTGTGTGTACATATATAAAGCACAATGTGTACAAATTTTCTATGCAAATCAACATAACATAAGAATAATTTAAAATAAAAAACCCCAACCGGGTGTGTTGAGAGATGGCTGTGTTCTGCAGGCAGAAAATGCTGATAGTTATCCAACTCCAATTTTATAAAAAAAAATTACTGAATTATACAGCTGGGGGGGAAGTATTCTAATTTGAAAATATTTTGTATTGAAATCAAGGTGAGTTTGATGAAATGGGGGTGTATTTGATTAAATAGAAGTATATTTGATGAAATAGAGGTGTGTTTGATGAAAGAGAGGTGTGTTTAGCTCTGCTAAAGCTGTCCTTTTTTTTTTTTAAATGGTTGAGAATGATCTCTTGTATGAGAGTGTGAGTCCGGGCCTTGATTTCCTAAATCTAGTGAAATTTCCCGAGTTTCCCAGCTCCCATTTGTCCTTTGGAAACATTTAGTCATTAATCAGATATATTCTTCTAAGTGGCCCTTGTTATGGGGATTAAATTAATCTTTGAAAAAATGTAATCTACTTACTTCTAGCCACAGAGGCTAAGCAGTTCCTAAGTCCAACAAGGGCTGACAGAGCACTCTTTTTGTTTCTGGAAGAGGGGATTTAGGACATCATGCTTGGGAAGGCGGAGGGTCCGGTCCGTCAAAGAGGGGAAGACCCTCGATGAGATGGATTGCACATAGTGACCACAGAAATGGGATTAATGTGTCAGGGACGATGAGGACAGCACCGGATAGAACAGGGTTCAGATCTGTTGTTCACAGGGTCACTGTGGGTCGTACTCTCCTCAATGTCATCGAACAACAACAATAACAAGACCATGGAACTCCAAGTCTCTGTGCCCCTAGTTCTGTGAACAAGTAAGCATTTTGGACCAAGGGAGCGTCTCTCAGAGGTCCCCAGAGCCCCACTGTGGATAACCCCAGGACAGCACGATAGGCATCTGTGGGGAGAGAGCGGTTCCAGTCCATCCCACAGACCTGGGAAGACAAGGAGGGCAGGGAGGCCTCAGTGAAAGGGCAGGTGATGTTCAAGGACAAGTCCATCCCAGTCTTAAAGCAGAATGTCATTATCCAGGGACACTGGGCAGTGTACCTGGCCCTTTGAACCCACTTTTGTATCTACCTGTGTGCAAGAGTTTTTCTGGAGTTCATAATGATGTTTGCCAGAGTCCTTAAAGTCTATGACACTCACTCCCCCAAATATACACAGAGAGAAAGAGACAGAAAGATTGATTGAAAATGCTTCTCTGCCCAGAGATAAAAAGGCGGGGAAAGGCCCTACCCTGAGCTGTTGCGGCACCAGAGGAACTGGTCGGACTTGCTCGGGAAGGATAAAGCCCTGGGAGAGCAGAGGCACCTTAAAGAGAACGTCCAGGACACAGAGGAAGGACATGAGAGGCAGCTGGCCAGAGTGTGGGCCACGGCTCACCGCCACAGGGGAGGAAAAACATGGAGGGAGGGCAAGATGGTGGGTGCGAGAAACACATGAGGGCCGAGGAAGAAGAGAAACAGGGGAGGGGACAGAGGAAGAGTGCGGGGCTACAGAGATGGACTGGTGAGCACCGGGTTCTGACCATCTGTGGGGGTGCCTTTGACAGGCTCCCCACCTGGCCACCCCTCCCCAGTGCCTCTTCAACCCCCTACTCCCTGGATCATTACCAACGCTTCCCAGGCGGCCCACTCTGCCCTCCACCACATAAAGCCCTCTGTGGCTCCCTATGGCTCTGCCTAAAGTCAAGCCTGAGGTGGCTCCAGGGTTCTGCCTGGCAAAGCTCCTGCTTTTTGGCCCGCTGGCCCTGCTCGCCTGCCCACTCTCCCTGGTCCAGTCTCTCTGGACATCGCCACACCCACACTCAGCCCTCATTAGGGAGCCGCCCAAGCCATTTGCCATTCGCAAACATTTCCACTCCCTCAGCCCTAGCCACCCAGGCCTCGCCCCAGTGCCAGCCACGACAGCTCTCCGCTGCCCTCTGCTGACAGCCAGAACACTGGACGCAGACCAAGCAGACACATGGCCTTCCAGAGGGTTCCATCTCCTAAAAGCCCCTCGTGGTGCAGAGCTGAACTGCTCCCTGTGGTTTCTCTGCTTTCCTCTTTACAGAAGAGGATCGCCAGACCTTTCTTCCTCAGTGCCACTGGACGGCTCAAAAATGCCAACCTTATAGTGCAATAATGAATGAATGAAAACCCAAAATCTCTGTAAATGTTCATTAAAATTAATAAAATTTAATAATTAAAAAAAATGCCAACCTTGTAGTTGATGGATAAGGGCAAACCTCATCGCTCTGGGCTCTTAATTCAGGGGGCCAAATAGACATGTGTTAGGCTTTGCTACTGTGCTCTGTCAGCTCACGTCAGCCCTCATGAAAGCAGCCCCCCATTTTTTTTTTAAAATGCCTTCTTTGCCATAAGATAGCTGTCAGCTCCTGGAGCTAAAGAGAAGCTCTTTCCACCTGAAACGTCTATATTCCCTAAAGAAAATTCAATACCTCTTATGGTCTAGCTGCAAGAGATTACCCCAGTGAACCCCTCTCCACTCTGATCACACGAACATTCAGCAGGACAGGGAGGGCTTTACAGCGACTGTGAGTGGGCACGTGTACTCGTCATCACCACTCATGAGAAAGTAGCCGCTTTTAATTATAACCAAGGTGCGTCTGGCACAGGCCGTGGTCTTCGCAGTCACTTGTATGCGTCAGAGAGTTGGACAATGACTAGGGAGGATAGAAGGAGAATTGATGCCTTTGAGAAAAGTATTGATGCCTTGGAGAAGAGTATTAAATATACCATGGACCGATAAGAAAATCAACAGGTTCTTCCTGGAGAGGGTTAAACCAGGCTGCTCCTTGGAGGCAAGGATTCTGAGGCTTCATCTGACACATTTTGGACATGTTGCATGGAGGAACCAGTCCCTGGAGAGGGATGTCATGCTTGGGAGGGTAGAGGGACAACACAGGCGGGGAAGGCCCTCTGGGAAATGGATTGATTCAGTAACTGGGGTAATCAGGATAGGTGTGTTGGAGACGGTGAGATTGGCACAGGATAGAGCAGGGTTTAGGGCTGTTGTACATAGGGTCGCTATGAGTCACAAGCAACTCAACAGCACATAACAACATAACAACAACATCCTTGAGCTGACAACACACAGTGGTCCTGTTTGTATCAGAGTGGGACTATGTAGGTGTTCAGTCTGCGTTTTCAGTTGGGTCGCCAGAGCTTTCTTCAGAGACACTTCTGGCCAGACTTGAACCTCTAGACCCTCATTCAGCAGCTAATCGTGCAGATAAGCCCCTGCTGTCAAATGGATTCTGACTCATCAAGCTTCTTGTTGTCGTGCGCTATGGAGTTGGAATCGACCCATAGCTGACCCTCCAGCGGGTTTGCAGAGGCAGGAAATCACACAAGAGGAGATTGCCCATGCTTCTTCCACAGAGCAGCTGGTGGGTTTGAACTGTGTGCCTGCAGGTTGGCAGTTTAGCTTCTTACCACCTAGGCCACCAGAGTCAGTAATTCTATGAGAGGAAAGTGCTCACCTTTCTCCCGCAGAGCAGCTAGTGGATTTGAACAGCTGGCCTTTAGGTTAGCATCACAGCATGCATTGCACGAGCTACCAGAGTTCCCTCTGAATCACCAGGAACCCCAAGAGTGACAGCTGAGGTTCAGGGACAGTGTGCAAGGGACACAGAGCCACCTAGTGTACAAATGGCTAGGCTGGACAGTGCAGGACGTGGTCAGGGCCACGTGGTCAGGGTCATATGGTCAGGGCCACACGGTCAGGGCTACTTGTGGAGGTGACAGGCGTCTGCTCTTCTCTCTGCTTTTGCTGTGCTTGGAATTTTTCATAAAAAAGTTAGGGGGAAAACCAGCCCCTTATTAACTAGGCACAAAGCCCAAGTGAATAAAGAGGGTGCCTTTGAATTACGATGCTGGCAAAGATCAGAGACTCCCCGTGGAACACAGAGAAACCTGTCAGGGACCAAGTGTGGCCAATGTGCTCCTGAGAGACACCAGTGGGGAGACTCTCTCACGTGGTTTTGGCCTCTTCTCTGGAGGGCCAGTCCCTGGAGGACAGCATGCTCTTCAAGTAGAAGGTCAGTGAGAAGAGGACCAGCACAGTGACCCAGCAATGGACTCGGGCACAGCAGCAAGTGTAAGGCTGGTTCAGGACCAGGCTGGGCCCTGTTCTGTGACAGCTGTCGGAGCCAACTCTCTGGCACCTAACAGCAGCCCCTAACAGCTCTGTAAGAGTTGTCAATTTTATAAATGTTTCATGTGTATCCTGCCTCACGTGAAACAAAAATAAATTGTGTTCTTTCATCTGGGGGTGGTCAGGACCCTGAGGGAGAGAGGTCAGTGCAGTGTGTGTGGGATAGGAAGCCCC